GGGGGGGGGGGCTCTTCGCAACCAGAGCAGCGGCCTGTACGGAGCGCGGTTATCGCGCACACCTCAACGAGAGTCTTGACGGTGGGTGCGGAGGGGTAGATGAGGGTCTTGGACATCCCGTCCAGGAGGTGGTCCGCGAGCTGCGCGAGGGAGTCTCTGGACGAGACTTGGTGGTTTTTCGCGATCCCCTCGATGAGGTCCAGCAGAAACGACTCCTGCAGCCCCCCCCCCAAAAAAAAAAAAAAACATAAACGAGGGGAAAAGGTCAACGCAATCAAGGAGTATGGGGCAAGAACACGACTCCTGGAACACAAACAAACAAACAAATGATAATGAATAGAAACGTGGAAACTGGTGAAGGGAATGTACTTTGAAGTACACGACCAGAACAGCGTATGTACCAAAAACTGGTGAAGGAAATGTACTTCGAAGTACGATCAGAACGGCCTGTGCACCAAAAAAACAAAAAAAATACGCAGAAAACGAAATAAGAAAAATACAGCATGCTTCGAAGAACGAAGCAAGAACGGCTTCCGTCACCAAACATGAACAAATAAACACCTGCTAGCATATACTAAACAACAGTAGCCTTTGGGACGAACGAAAAACACACACAACATGCGTGGTAGTAGATGGTATGATCCTAACGGTGGGCTGCACCATGCTGGATCAATTCCTTTGCATCACCTTCGGGCGGATGCTGTGCCACTCCATGTGCTTCCACAGCTGCATCACCCCGTCCATCTCCCCCCTCCGCAAGAGCTCGCAGATGACCGGCTGATACGAACGGAAGCGGGGGCGACAGAACTTCTTCTGGTACTCCCTTCCCTCCATCATGGCCAAGACCTCCATCGCCTCCGCCAGCTTCCCTCTCTTGCAGTCCACCCCAGCCCCCACAAACATGTGTCCGGTTGAAACAGACAATGGCGCGCATGTTGTCAGTGTTCCGTTCCCCTGCCAATGCCAGTCTCTGTCGGCCTAACGCTTACACGAGACTTTTGTATGCTATCGAACAAAATATATAGCCAACAACTACGGATTTTCGAAAGCCGGGAGGCGGTGGTGTGAGAATGGGAGAAACTAAAAAATCTCTTCTCAAAATCTTGCGATTTCCTTATTGTAGTCTAGCTGGGTCCGCCGACCAATGAACAGAAGCTAGCCAAGGAACGACGACACCACACGTGCTGCGCGCTCCGAAAGAGTTCGTAGGTGTCCGGGTGAGTTGCGTGTGGGTTCACCGGCACGCAAAGACAGAAAACCATAGGGGTTGCTTGGGGCCACCGTGCGCCATAGACAGAAAACTGCCGTTGTTTCCTTGGGGATGGGCTTGTGAGCTAAGAGACCAATCAACATGGTTTGCTTGGGGGTCAGTTGCGCTCAGACGGGTAACCATGGTGGTAGCTTGGGGTCTCACCCTCCTCCGCTCAGGAAAGATCGCCGTCATGGTTGTTCGGGGTCATGTGCATGATGCTAAATAGGACAGAAAGCCATCATGACATTCTCGGGGTCACGTGTACGCCAAGACAAACAACCACCACGAAAAAAAAAACAGAAAAGATTACCATGGTTGGCTAGGGTCACCTGCACAATATGACGCCATGGTCGCTTGGGGTCCGGTGTACGCCCGAGGATATAGAAAATCATCACGCCCAGGACACACCATTGGGTCATATAAAGTATATGTGCAGGAGGAGGGAAGGACGGGGGACGGGGTGTACTCATGCGAACGCATGCCGCAGTCCCTAGATAGACCATTGGCCTCGCATCCCAACAATGCCGGGACGGAGCGATGCGCCGGGCTTTTCGCCGGCCCAGGCTAGCACATCACTAAGCGGGAAGTGAGGGGGGGGGAGGGGGGGGGGTGACTCACCTGCACGCGAAGACGGATGACCATGGTCGCGCAAGACTCCGAGGGGAGCATGCCGTACTTGAGCATGTCGGCGAACTGCTCCTCCGCCTCCTCCAGCATACCCTCGGCCGCCAGGAGCTGCACCAGGAGGCTGCACAAGGTCGGCGGCGGGTACGCGCCCAGGCTGCGGATGCGCTTGAAGAACTCCAGCGCTTCCAACCTGCGCAAGAGTTTTATCGTTGCAAGCAGCCGTCCCCGCTTTTGAAGACACAAATTTTTCCGGGAGAATGGGGCCCCGCAGAATGATGATGATGGCGGGGTGTGTGAAGGACGCGGCGGGAACGCGCGGCGGAAGCGCTCCAAGAATTGAAGCGCTTCCAGCGACCTGCGCTAGTTGGTCGTTGTATGTTTTCGGTGTTTCCAGTGGGCGTGCCTGCTGAAAGGACCCCAAAATCAACAACATTCTGCCCAAGAGTCAACACTGTAGTTTTTCAACGCATGACTCATCGCAGACGGAACAAAAAGTTGGGCCGGATAAACTAAGGGAAACTCCCCATTGAAGGACTCGTCTTCAGAAAAACATATGGAACCCTTAAATTACGATGGCAGTGGTGTTTTCGGTGATGACGGTGGGCGTTACTGCTACCGATATCTAGTACGTTGCTGCTCACTGCTGCCGGTGTTTCTGACCTGTTCGCCCTCCAACTGGCTATCTCCACCCTCCTGCTTAGCCTTCAAAAACCGGAACCAAACGCCACTACAACCCCTTCGAACCCCACCCACCCGTACAGCTCGTCCCCTTCCCCCTCCTCCTCGGCCATCTCCTCCGGACTCGCCGGCGCCGCAGGCGCCGCCGCTTGCCGCGGCATCAGCGGCATCAGCGGCTCGACCCTAGTCCGTCGCTGCTGGTTTCTCTTCTGGCGCTGAAGCCCCACCAAGAGCTTGACCCTTCGGTGGAGCTCCACCAGCAGCTCGGAAAGCAGCAGGTCCTTGTCCACCCGGCCCTCGCCGGTTAGGCACCTCTGCTCGAGGGCGGAGACCTTTCCGCCTACCGTCTCGGGGGTTTGCTTCTGCGTTCGCCGTTCAGGGGGGGGGGGGGGGGGGGGGGGGAAAAAAGGAGGGGGGGAACCCAGGTCCAGTTTTTGAAGGCCTTAATTGTAAAACCTTTTAAAACGGGTAAAGAAAAGGGGGGGGGGGAATTTTCCCCCGGAATTGAAACCAAGGGGCAAAACCCTCTTTTTCCCCCTGTGCAAAGGGGGCCCAAAAAATTTTTCCGAACTCAAATAAAACCAAAATGGCCCCCCGGGGGGGGGAAAAGACCCCTTCCCTTGGTTTAAACCAAAGAATTTTCAAAAAAAAGGGGAAAATTTCCGTTCCCCCCCCCCCGGTAACCCCACTGAAAAGGCCCAAAAAAAACCATAAACAGGGGGTCCCCCCCCCAAAAGGCCAGCCCCCTTGAAAAAAACCAAAAAAAATCATTT